TGTTTTTCTGTACAGATTTCACTACTTATGATCAAGACAAATATTTTATCACAGATAAGTCTACCAGATTTCAACACTAACTTGTAGGCTTTTACATAGATCTCCATTCATTTTCATCTCTGTTAAGTGCGTTTATTAAGTGCATGTTTAAAAGCCCAAAGTAACGGGGAGACTTAGTACTTCAAATCAATCGCTTCTTGTTTAAAATAAACGAAGAAAAACATTTTAATGTAGAAAGTGTCGATCAAAGTCTCCTTTGATGATCTCTAATAGAAATACATTAATAAGTCCAAATGAATGTTTACATTTAATCAATAGAACAGTTTCTATAAATTGTTCCCTGTTGAATAGGAAAGGCTAAAATTCAGAGATACAGGGTCCTATTTATTTCATATATATATGAGATGGTGAGAACAGTTGTTCTGTAAGACCAGCATGCTGTAAATTGGCTTTGTACCTGGGGAAGATGACCAATTACACAGATGTTACAAATGTAAAATTGCTGTCGACAACATCAAAAAATTAGGAGAATTATAATTACGTATATTATATACATTTTCCTTATTCTCTTTTTCAGGGTTATACTATGAAGACATTTGTTTGGAACATAAATTTCAACAAGAGATGTTTGTGCACACTTATCCCCCCACCCTCATTGGACATATATCCAAAACAGAACGTGACCTAGATCTTCTTATCATAAATCTGTATACCAAATTTTATTTTAGTATGTGCAACCTCTGCAAAGAAAATGAACGGAAACTGCAAATAATTGGAATTTTTCTAAGTCCAAGGGGGCATAACTCTGTTGTTATGAACGGAAACTGTTGGTGGACCGACAGACAGACAGCAGCAACGCAATATTCCCTCCCTTCTTCGAAAGGGGGGGGGGCATAAAAAGACTACACATGTACGTGAAGTATGTCACTATGCAATGAAGATCCTAATTCGATACGAGCGTTAATTTCTGTGTGTGTGTGTGTGTTTTTTTTTCTTTGTAAAATGGTGACCCTCATGTTACCTGGGAAACAAATTTATTGAAAGATGATTTTGCAGTAAAATATAACCAGAGATATGTACTGTGAACTCTACATATTTGATTTACTTGAATACTTGAATATTTTATTTATCATCATTTATTTTCTTGTCCTGTCCTTTGTCTTTAGAAGGTATCTAATCTGTACCGCTCCTGTACTGGTAACAAATTGTTCTCTTCTATATTTGTGTGTGTGTTACCCTTTGATCTTTAAAAAGTCATTCCCTTAATACACCATGTCAAAATGCGATAATACTTAAGTTCCTAATCTGTATAATTTAATTATCGATTTAATTACAGGTAAATCGGCGGTTCCTTTAATGGTACCTCTCAGGTGTTAATCCGTGTAAAGATTGTAATCAATGAAATATGTAAAATCTTATAAATATGTACTATGTAAGTATAGTACTTACTGGCGATATAGGGGTACGTGGACACCGATCCCTGATGACTAACAAGAAACTGAAATTCCAGCGCCGAGAGCTTATACACAGACAAACACACAAACACGATATCAAAGACAATATTAAAGTCCTCCATTGTCTTCTCAGGGTATGTTTTATATCCTATGGGAATTTTTGGAATCTTTAATGAAAATATTTAGAGATTTCAATGACGATATTTAATAAAATACAATTATACACACATTAATACTTTACATGCAACACCTAATATTTTACTGACCTTCTTTGAATGTAATACATCATGCTGTGAAAATTTAATAATATGCTTTATACATGTAATATATAATATGCTATACATGTATGATAAAATATGCTTTACGTCTAATGCAATAAACATAATGCACATGTAATACAATATGATGTATATAAAAAAGCATTACCCAATGTAATATTATATAAATATTGTGTGTAGTTGAGTGCAAAATTTTCAACGTTACACTCAACTACATGAACTATTTATTATATTATACTGAATGTTTATACAAATACACATAACAGTGAACCTTAATTGTGCGCCTCGGTTGACAATGGGGTGAAAATTTTCAGTGTTACACTCAACTACATGCACTATTTATATAATGTAGTATGGTATAATACATTATGCTTTAAATGTGATGGAATATGTTGTACATGCAATACAATGTAATGTAAATGTTCATGTAATACAACATATTGTTAATGGTATTCAATATGAATGTTAATGTTATACAACATAATGTTAATGTAATACAACACGATGTTAATGTAATACATTATCTAATGTTATATAATATGATGTTAATGTAATACACATGATTTAATGTAATACAACATGTTTTAATGTTATATAATATGATGTTAATGTAATACAACACGATGTTAATCAATGTATTACATGATGTTATATCGTTTATGTTATAATGTCATTATATTAACTACCAGTATAACATTATAATATTATTTCTACTCCAAATAAAGGAGTTTGTAATAAAAATTAATAAAAAAAATTGTTCTTGTGGATATAAGGAGGATAGTCATCATGTTTTTCTGTGTGTGTAGAAATTATTTTGAATCTAAACCTTTTAGGGTGAATGCACTACTTGTAATTAATAATGAAAAAAAAAATGTTAAATGTGCATAAATTGTTATCAAGTAGTGAAGTATTGTTCAAAAATTTATTCAAGATACTGGTTGTTTCAATTTGCACTGCCTTTTTTGAAAATATTATCATCATCGTCATTATAATCAACATTATCATTAATTGATATTCCTTAGGTATATAAAAAAATTTGCATTTGTTTTCTTATGTACATTATTGTAAATCTTTGTAAATATTGTATGGCTACGATTTTATGTATGGGGGAGAGGACTACCCAAGTTTTTGGAACTTGTGTCCAATCCCTTTGAAATATTGTCAATAAAATGTATTCAAAACAATAAGTAAGCATCATTTGCTTCACGTCTTTTTTTCTTTTTTGTTTGTTTGTTTGTTTGTTTGTTTTTTTGTTTTGTTTTTTTTGTTTTTTTTTGTCGCACGTTGAATTCTTTTCTATATCCATGTCTATGCCGCATGAACAGAGAGTTCCAATGGACGACCGTAGACAAGGCATCAATTTTTTATTATTTTGCAATAAATCAGGAGAAGACCAGTCAAAATCCTAGAGTTTGATCAGTTGTCTATAACAGTATACTACAGGACACAATTCAACATAAGTAAAAAGTGTATACAGGTAATGAAACATTTAGTTGATTGGCATTGCATATGTATAATGTGTTTCCCATGGTTATAAAATAATTAGAAAATGCACTTTGGCAAATCAATAATAAGATAAAAGCCTGGAGATTTCATGTAGACGTCTTCCGTTATTTGTTAATGGACGCACACTTGATTTCTCACTTGTACACGTCATAACCACATACATGTACACGGACAGGGGAGTTAATAAATGAAGTTAATGAAGCCCAGAGATTTATATGTCTGCATTCATCTCGATGTTCTTACTCCTCTCGTCGGTTGCTAAACTGGTCGGTCTCTCTCATCTGTTACTGAGCCCCTTACATACGGAAGGGGTGACTACATTTAAATTATTAACGACAGCCCGCCATCAGCGCCACCTTGACGTGATGTATCGTCCCTGTAGATCTACACATCTAGACGTGACAAGCACACGATCGAAAACCCGTTAGCTCCAGATAGACTTCCCGTAAATTTCTCCATAACGACTTAGTGGAATAGTCTACATGATTTGGTATCGCTGTATACATCACGGAGTGATATTTCTTCCTCAAATCTCTCATCGCCTCCCTATATTGATTATCGTGGAAGGTGTCCACATGGCCGGACACAGATATGTATGCGGTAAATGTCTTATTCCAGTCGGATGATCTTATAGAAGTTGTATCAGTAACTCAGGATACGTGAACATTTAGAAAACAATCTATGTGTATTTACTTAACAAAATGAAGAGATCTTAAATCTGTGATTGGTGATTTTGTTATTGTATCGATAATAAGGTTGACCAATAGAACATCCAAGATTGGAACAGTTTGATTTTTTAATTATTTATTTCGCAAAGTACATCTAAACTTGTATAGAAACTTGTACCCCAATCCTAGGGGACTTATTCGATCTGACTGTTCAGATTTGGCGAATTTTTATCGTACGGAGGGAAACATCAAAAGAATTTTACCGGCTATTTCAAGGAGAAGAAGTTTGGAGAAAGATTATTTTTTTTTAATTTCCACTGATTCCGTTTTGATGAGGTTTGGATGGAGATATCCAGCGATTTATGTCTGATTCGTAAATCAACGGGGATATCTATGAGAAACAAGCAAGGGATGTTCTTAAAGCCGTGATTAAGAAATTTTAGGGATAGTTTCTTCAAAGCATCCTCTGTCGACAAGGTAGATTCCATCAGTAATGAAACTCCTCGGTGTTTCTTATATTGTCATAATGGAGAGGGCAATATAAATGCAGTTTCGGACTTTCGTGAGCAGTTCCTAAGTGGAGCATTGTCTAGGTACAATTGATTCTTTGTGCCTTAAAGAGCTTGTTCGATAACTTAAAGATTATCGACAATGATAAGTAATAGGAAAAAAAAAACAGTGATCACTTTGGGGAAATTTTTTCGATTTTTTGAAGACGTTCTTTAAAATTTTTCAAATAACGCCTTTTTGCAGTGATTGCATTACTCTTTAGTCAGGACTTGGACAATGTGTGTCTACTCACAAATCCCTGCCGGTTTGATTTGAGCAGTCCAATATTCCGTGTGTATTGATAGTATTGCGAGCCCCTTTTCTATCCAGTCGGATTTAAATTGAGATTTGTGTACTTTAATTATTTTCACCTGTGCTATACCTTTGGCTAGGATTATCGTCAGTTCCGAACATCGGCACTTTTGTGTAATTGTCAATATGTAAACAACAAACGCAGTGGGAATTACTTCTATCGTAAAGTTATGAGCACAACATGAATGCATCTGGTAACAACACTATATTTTTTCCTTGATTTGTATTTATAAAACAAATTTATTGAAATGGGATTTGATGTGGATAATTTTGTGACTACAATACGCGATGAGATGCGCTGTGAATTGTGTAGGGGGGTCCTGGATAACCCGCTTAGGACCACGTGCAGTCACATCTACTGCTCAGGTTGTATCCTCCCCTGGGTGGTCAGGACAGGAAAGTGCCCCAGGGGCTGTCAGCGCCTCACCCCCGAGGACCTGGGTAACGAAATAGAATTAAGGGATTGTATCTTGAATCTGAGTGTTCTATGTGAGTTTAGAAGCCGAGGTTGTAAGAGATTTGTTCGTCTGCGAGAGGTGGGGCTCCATAGTACTGAATGTGAGTACAGACCCGTCCCTTGCACAAACGAGGGCTGTAAACTGGTTCTCAACATCAGGGATTTAGAAAAGCACGTGACTGGAAATTGTCCTTATAAGGAAGTTGGGGTCTGTCTAAAGGGATGTAGTCTCGTTTTATTGCAAAAAACTGTAGATTCACACGAATGTATATCAGCTTTAAGATCCTACATTGCTGGACAGGAGAACAAAATAAATACCATGGAAACGGAACTTCAAATGGCCAGTCTGAAAGCAGTAGAAAGGGAACAAGAGTTGACGAGTCAAATTGCTGCTCTACGTAGTGAAAACCAGCATCAAGCGCTTGAGTTTAACAGGAAGTTAAATGAAATTTCGACGAAGTTGAAAAAACGCGGCAAAGGTGTGAATGTCGCCACGGTAAGCTAAAATATTGTTCAATAAAGTCGTTGTAAAAAGCTTGGGGAAATCGTATAGTTTTGTCATTTTCTTTTTTTTTCTTTGAATTAAATTCATATTTATAGTTTCATATATTTTTTAAACAAACATTGAAGCTCAAAGTGTTTTACTGATGTAATCCAGCGGTAGAAGAATTTTATTTTCGTCATCCGTATTTTGTTTTATTTCACATCAATCCTGAAAATTATATCTTCCTCTTTTTTTTAAGTTATGAAAAAAGAAGTGGTAAAAAAATAAAGAGGGCACATATACAAAAAAAAAAAAAAAAAAAAAAAAAAAAAAAAATTCTCCATTTTCTCACACATTTTGCTGGTTGTTTCCCTACTCATTATTTATCAATAATTCCTTTGTAAGGAGAGAAAAACAAAGTTTATCAAAAAAATCTTTCATAGTGTACTTTGTCCATTTCACAAAAAGTGTTGATTTCCATCAAAGTTAATTAAAAAGAATAAAAAAATTCACTTAAAAACCATTTTTCAATATCAAAATTTCCCAACGTTTTCTCTTGCATTAATTTTAGCAATAGTGTGTGTCCGTCCTATTGACGTATGGATTGATATGTACAATTTTCTCTTTAGAGAGAGAGAGAGAGAGAGAGAGAGAGAGAGAGAGAGAGAGCAGGGCACCTGTTTTCAATCTTTTTTGTGTACATCTATTTGAGGTGTAGATTTTCACCTGTTCCCGGGTGTTCTGTCAAAATAAGAGATCAAAGTTAGCCAGATAAGACTATTGATTAACTTCTCAACTGCTTGCACAGGTTCCTTATTGACTGTTTTAACATTTACGTATGTATCTTTATTTTTTTAACCTTTGAATGCCATTCGTTTGCTTTAAATTAAATTCGGGACAAAAATCAGCATGTACTCATTTCAAATGAAAAAACAAAAACAAAAACGCAAAATGATTGTAAATGATTGTAAATATTATACTATTAGGTAAACCTTTGCTGTCATGCATCGTCTCAAACAATTATAGTACATTAACGAATTGTTGGCATATTTTCACCTTTCTAAACTACTTTGGGTAGCTCCTATTTCAGTTTTTGGAATGATACTTTTAAAGTTTTGACAGCATTGATTGTTCGAAAGAGGTCAATTGAATTTGAATAGAATAATGTATATGCCAAAGGTAAATCCTTTTTTGCTTTTGTTTTTGTTGTTTTTGCTTTATGTTTTTATTTTTATTTTATTTTTTTGATTGCGTAAAATTAAAGTAACTGATTAGGTAAACAAAATCAGTAAATATTAAAAACCTGTAAAAGTATGGTAAAAAATCAAACAACGAAAAACAAAACCAAGATTAAATATTTTTTGCCTGAGAATCGGAGAAAAAATTAAATGATGAAATTGTAAGTCTGAATTGAGTCAATTATGTATTTTATTAGCAGTAGTCTAATGGAAATATTCTCCACGTCCTCAATATATCACAAGTTAAGCGAGAAGTCCCCCGCCCTAAAAGTCCCTTGGGGGATATCCTTTTCCGTGCACGACATGTCATTAAACCATTAATGGCGCCATTCACACGACGTCACGTGCTGTATATTTCAGAACACGGAGGATGCTGTATGGAGGATAGTGGTGGTCACTCTATACAGACAGGACGGCTCACTGGGCTTCAACATAATGGGGGGATACACGGTAAGTGGACGGTACAAACAAATTGGGGGGATCACTCTGCACGGACGGACTATGTGTGTGTGTGGGGGGGGGGGGGAGGGGGGGTTGATGGTAACTCATCACGGAGTGCCCTGTATTAGGAGGTTTACACCTTGTAATTTATGGGGTTGGGGTGGGATGTTCAGTTACGGTAAAATAAAATATTTGTGCCACTGTTATACTGGTAAGTGGAGGGATATCGGATTGAGGTATTGGGCTTACTGTGTGAGACACGGGAAGTTGATCAGGGAGAGTTACTGGGCAGGCGCGGATCCAGGAATTTTGGGGGTTCACCCCAGTCAGAAAAAAAAATCAAATCCCAAAAATTTCTTGACAAGCAAAAAAAAAAAAAAAAAAGTAAAATCCACTTCCATAACGTGAAAAACAGAGGTCTCTTTCGTGGTGGTGATGGTGGGGTCCACGTTTTCTAGGGGGGGGGGGGGGGTTTCCAAAGACGTTTTTTATTTGCTTCAGTATACATGTATACTTTAAGTAATTCTGCAAATTCCAGGGGGGGGGGGGTTGGACCGGACCCCCCGACCCCCCCTCTAGATCCGCGCATGCTTGGTATTAAAATATATATAAATTATAGATGAACAGTGTATTTTATTATAATACACTGTTCATCTAGAGAGAGTGATGAGGAAAACTAAGACGGAAATTACTTTTTGATTACAAATAATTTAAAAAAAAAACCCAGAGAGCTTATTTTATAAGTAACATGGGTTCAACTTAAGGCCTAATTAAAAAATAAAAGATTTGTTTCTATTAATAATTAAGAAAGGGGGGATGTTTTGAACAGTTTGGATCATTCTCTCTACACAGTGTTTTTTGATAAGAGCTTGCAACGGGTAAAGAAAAGATTTTCGTCTTTAAGATTTTTGCCTTAAAGATTTTCGCTGGGGTTGGATCCTAAAATTTGTAGGATTTATTGCGACTTACTATTTGATCTAGAGTAACTTGCCTTGAGCGAACTCTTTTTTAGGTCACCTGAGTCACGTAGGTGACCTATTGCTATCTGTTTTCGTCTGCCATCATGGGAGTGTGCATTGTGCGGGTGTGCGTCGTGCATAAACTTTTCACATTTTCGACTTCTTCTCAAGAACCACTTGGCCAATTTCAACCAAACTTGCCACAAAGTATCCATGGATAATGGTGATTCAAGTTTGTTCAAATGAAGGGCCAAGCCTTTTTCCAAGGGGAGATAATTAAGAATTAGTGAAAAATTTATGGCATCTTTTAAAAATCTTCTTCTTAAGAACCACTAAACCAAGAAAGATGAAACTTATATGGAAAAATCCTCAGATAGTGTAGATTCAAGTTTGTTCAAATCATGACACCCGGGGTAGGGTGGGGCCACAATGGACAGTCAAAGTTTTACATAGGAATACATAGGAAAAATCTTTAAAAATCTTCTTCTCCAGAACCACAGGGCAAAGAAAGATAAAACTTGTGAGCAAACAGCAAAGCCATGATTAGCCATATTAATATAGGAGCATCCACAGGTACAGTACCGACCAGACACAACCTAACACCAGAGCGAACCCAAAGCGGACCCTGGGTTCGCTTTCTGGGTTCGCTCGGGGTCCGCTGCGGGTCCGCTTTCAGAAATTTTGGGTTCGCTCTGGGTTCGCTTTGGGTGCGCTTCGGGGTCAGCTCGCTAGAGCGAACCCGGCTTTCGCTTTCTGGGTTTGCTTTACGCACTCATGCGTGAAGCGGACCCCGCTTTAATCTTGCCGCCAGTAAGCCCCACCCCTTGTATATTCCAAATACAGTAGCGAAATCGATCATTGTTGTTTCTGAGGCGATCAATACATGTGCATGTACAATGGCTGCAACGTTATTGTTGACAACATATAGGAACGATCACGTTACACGAACGATTTCGCAAGATTAATCCTTCAATCACACGATTCTTCATGTTACACGATCATTCACGACTGTTACAGCAAACGCACGATTTTTGTACGCAAAATAGTTAAAAATATTTAGGAGTGGATATTTTTAAGACGAATTAAGGCTTAATTTATTTAATAGATATTTTAGATTAGAAATATTTACTGGTGAAATTCATCGACTTTATAAAACTGAAAGAAAAAATAAAATATTTAGAAATGAATATTTTTGAAACTACATGTAAATAAGACTTAATAGTCATTTTAGATTACAAATGATTATTTGTGTAAATCTCAGACTTAGGAAAATTGTTTTTTTTTTTTTTTTATGTTTTTGACATGTAAACATGTAATTTATGATCGAATGCTGCATTTTCTATCACATGATATACATGTACATGTAGGTTGGTCGTGAATTTTGATTCAATTGGATTTTATGATATGCAGTAAGGGGGTAGATTTTTAAAAATGGCCTAAAAATGAATTATACTATAATCATCTTTCCATTTATGAATTTCAAAAATCAGCAATCTGTTTTAAAAAATCATTCATTTGCAGAAATGATATATATAAAAAAAACAATAACAAGTATCAGGGATGAAAAGTAACCCCGACAATCATGTCGTGTACATTTGCCGACTAAATATATGTAAATATCGGGATTTGTTTTTTTTTTTCTTTCTTTCTTTTTTTTTAAATATACATTTTTGATGTATTGATATAAAAATACCATGACTACAATTAGCAGTTAACATGATTAACATCAGAGAAAAATCGTTAAACATCTTAAATACGCTTTATCAGTAAAAGTTACGATATTTTAAGAGAATACAATATTGTACGACTTACTATTTTGCTTAGTTACTCCGATAAAAATAAAATAATTGAATAAAAGCACGTACATATACATAATCTTGTACAGTATCTTGAGATGATGAAATGCTATAATTTATCAGAAACCATTTTTTTGTTTGTTTTATGTAACAATTGTAATAACCATTGCTTTCTTTTTTATTTCTTTTATACATTAGGGTATGTTTTGTCTGATAAATTTACGCAATGTATATTAATGGATTTTGTTTGTTTGTTTATTGTTTAACGTCCCTCTCGAGAATTTTTCACTCATATGGAGACGCCACCAGTTGCCGGTGGAGAGCTACAAATTTTGACCTATACTCGGCACTTAGGGCCATTGAGCAGTGAGGGATCTTTTTCGTGCCAGCACCTACTGCGACACGGGACCTCGGTTTATACGGTCTCATCCGAAGGACCGGTCTCCATGTCCCACAGTGGGATTCGAACCTTAATGGATTTTGAAAATGAAAAATAAATAAATAAATGTGTAAATATAATATGCTACCTGGATAATTAAAATATATTAATTTAGTTTTTTTTGATAATGTTTAAATAGTTTCACACTTTACATTAACACGCTTTGCTTGTACAATGTTTTATTTACATCGAATGACAAACTGGCATGCTGATTGGTCGACCCACTGATTGGTTAACACGTTTTATCGCTAATCCTGATTGACAGCTCTGTTACGCAACACCGAACGCGCGTTCGCTCTCTGGGTTCGCTACTGAATTTGGGGTTCGCTTTCGGCGTTCGCTCTGGGTCCGCTGCGGGTTCGCTCTGGGTCTGCTGCGGGTTCGCTCCGGGTTCGCTATAGCGAACCCCAAGCGAACCCAAAGCGAACCCAGAAAGCGAACCCAGAAAGCGAACCCGGGGTGCGCTCTGGGTTCGCTTTCTGTTAGGTTGTGTCTGGTCGGTACTGTAGTGTAGATTCAAATTTCAAATTTATGGTGGGTAGGGTGGGACCACAATGACCAATCAGAGTTTTTTTTACATAGGAATATGTGTCATGGTGCGGTACTTTTTCTTTTGATGTTAGCCATACTTTAAATCAGATAGAAAAGTGTTGGCTGAATTCCAGCGTACTATAACTTTTAGGGGGCGGAGATTAGCCGTACAGTAACTTCCAATGTACTGTACAGTAACTTCCAAAAGTACTCAATACACTTTCTGAATATTTTTTCTTCAATTTCTGTAAGCATATATAACCTATCCAGAGGAAACATAAGAAACCTCACAAAATTCAACCCCCTCCCTTCAATCTGAAAATGCATATGTGAGAACCATTTTCAAGAGGAATACATGGAAACTCAGTTAACCGTTTTAAACAATTTTTTTTTAAAAATACACAGAATTTCATGTATTCAAACTAAGACAGATTATTGAAATGTGACAGTATTGAAAACACGCGCAGTTCGATGATTCCCTTAATAGCACCTGTTTTCTGGGTTCCTTGAGTTACATGCAAACGGATATATGTTCATATATGCATGTATTTGGACTCTTTCACACTACATTCCATAACACTTGTGGCTACAGTACTTGACTCAGATTTCCTCAGGATATGTTAAGCATATATTCCTAGTAACATAGTCCGTCCGTGCAGAGTGATCCCCCCAGTAACAGTAACAGTAACACTAATGTAGTGGATCATAGTGCGGGCGGATCAAAGTTTCCAGTATTGTGCCTGTGTATATTACGGTTTTTGAAACCATCCCCTTCGTACTTTCTGCTTTGTTTGAACACCATGCACTCTTACTATGGACCAAGGCCTGTGAGGTAATGTTGCGTGCAGATTGGTGCTGAAAGAGTGACTATGCAAATGACCATGACACAAGACATTTACAGACACTTTCTTTCGTTTGTAAGGGATTTATTGTACCGAGAGACCTGACAGTCTTGTCATTGCACGACTCGACTGCCACACCTCTCTGTACAATAAATCCCTTACAAACGAAAGAAAGTACTGTAAATATAACACATGGGAAAAAAATCTTTAAAATTCTTCTGTTTAAGAACAGCAAAGCCATGATTAGTGATATTGATATAGAAGCATCCTGAGGTAGTGTAAATTTAAGTCCCCCCCCCCCTCCCCCTTAAAACTTTTCAATATACTGAACTGATTTCTGCTTCTTCCTACCCAGTTTGCTCAGGTGAGCGATGTGGCCCATGGGCCTCTTGTTTCAATACAGATGGCAAACATTTCTTGGAATATATAGTTAAAACATTTACTAGGAAGAAATGTAAGTTTGAAAGCTTAATTTGGATGAAATTTAAAATAGGTGTCAAAAGAACAAGGTTCACTTAGGGCGAATTTGTTGCACCTAAACTAGTTCAGGTTTTGGTTTAAGGTTTAAAACTAGTTTTCAAACTGGTTATAAGTTTCGATCCGGTTTACCTCGGTAAAACAAATGAACAGTTTATACAAGATGGCATCTAAAAGATGCATGCATGATTAATTACACAGGGACTTGAGACAATCTTAGCAAAATCGGGTATATAGTATAATATTATTATATATTAATACTATTATACTATATACCCGATTTTGCTAAGATTGTCTCAAGTCCCTGTGATTAATTATATTAATATTAATCATGTTAATTGGAAATTTAACGCGGAAATAATGCTGCTGATGAAAAAAAGAGATAGAATTGCAAGAATTTTATGACGTTTTTCATGTGCATTTACAATGTAGGAACTTTAATATGAAGAGCTAGAACAACATATTAACCAAATTACACATGCAAATAAAGTTAAAATCTTTTTCTTAATAAAAGAATCCAAGAAATTATAGTTTTTTGTTCCTTGTTTATCTTACTTAAAAATGCAGTATTTACATTTATAATGCCTCAAAGATTCATCAAATGATCAATTTCTACATTTTTAACACATGGAAAGATAAAAATTTGGGTATTTAATATAATTATACTCTTTAGATTTCCAACATTAAAACTGTTTTTATAGTATGTTCTACAATTTACCATACATGTTAAAGTTTGTTCAAATGATTCAGAACTTATTTTTGAAAATTATCATTGAACAAACACCATTACAATATGCAGCATATATCTATTCTCTGAAGCTTTATATAAAACATCAGAATGTGGCATTAAAGTCAAAAAGAGTTGTTTGTCCTCGAAAAAACAATCATCTATAACTTTTTTCTTTATTAAAATAGTCACCACCTTTCATCACCGCCATACTGGAATACTTTCCGCTCTTTCATAAACCGAATAAACCACCATCGGAGGTGGTTTGGTTGGTTTAACGAACTGGTTTCAGTTACAGCAAAAACAAATGGAAAACCGGTTCTGGGTTTAAACTAGTTTAAAACCAGTTTGTGGAACAAATGAACAGTTTATAAAACTAGTTCAAAACTAAAACCAGTTTTTGAGAAACAAATTCGCCCTTAGTGTTCTTTCTTGACCCTGTGAATTTCTCAAAAAGTGAAACTGCTTAGTTTTAGTTGACAATGCATTATATATCATTTAGACCCTTGATGACTGGCTATCTATAAAAAAATGATGTAATTTTCTGGCTGGTCAATGCATTATGACATCATGAATTGTGTCCTTTTACCTTATCCTGAAAAATTCTACAAAAATGGCCAATCTTTTAAGCCATTTTTCAATATTTCATATAGAGCGCAAACTTTGATCTAGAATATGCAAATATTTAATGATAGAACTGTTTCTGAAGATTACAAAATGTTCTATTTTTTGGATCGAAGGGTGCACTCATATTTTTATTCTTCACTGAAAGTACTTAAAAAAAAAACTGTTTTCTTTAAAATTCAAGAAGATTGCAAGTTCACAGAGCCTGTTTTCCTATACCTGGACTTTCAGAGGAAACTTTTTAATAGGAAATGAGAGCACCAAGTCTCTACTTTATCTAGATGTTTGAAATTGAACATAGAGTGTTGGTCAATAAACTGGTCTATATACAGGGCCATTTTAAGCACAGAGTGAACCTAGCTCTTTGTTACATACATGAAGTTGATAAAATGGTGTACCAAAGACAGTGATTGAAACAAAAGGATATTACTAGATAACTTGTCAGATTCCTCTACCAACTACAAACAGACGACATCTTGTACTCTAACCATGCAGTATATGTCATCCCTATTACTCAATTATTGGGTGGAATTTAAGGAAAAAATAAACAGCTAATTAATACAACCCATACCAGGCTTCAAATTATGTTTATTATTGTCCTTAGATCAAAGCAAATTGTTTTCCAAATTAAAATTGTGCAAACTTTTCAGCAGAATATTGCCTGAGGAAAGCCAATAATGTTTGAAAATTAATTTTGAGAGGGACATGAAATGCAATTTCTAATTAATTGTTCTAATTAATTGTTGTCGGTAGCAAAAAATTCAGTGCATCCAGTGGAGGTTTTCTGCAGAATATTAGTTTGAATTTTATTAGCTATAGCTGCAAGTCAGGCTATGGAAGGAAGCTCGTCTCCCACCCAACTCTATTTTAGCCGTTCAGTCTGTCCACTGTTTGTCAATGAGCTCGGGGAAATTACTTTAACAAGCAAATCAATAGTTTAATTGCAGATCACGGAAAAAATAGTCTCCTCATTTTCGTCTGAAGTTAGAGGCATAAGGAAATGACAGTTTGCAATGCCCCCCGCTGTCCAAGTGCCGTGCAAGTCTGTTTGAATTAATTGAGCCCAAATTACCTCACTCTGTGAGAACTGTCTTTATTTGGGGGTGAAATCCATCTCCATTTATTTTTTGTTCCGAGTCGTAGTTAATTCAGGGAAACCACATTTCCCCTGAAACTTGACCTTTGCTCCATGTTCCTGACAAGACAAAAGAAAGTCTCCCGTTCTTTGTGAACCCTTGGTGTAACATTAAGTATTTTTTATGTTTCTGATTTTTTTTTTGTCAGCCGGAGCCCAACAACAATGAGGCAGGGAAAGAGGAAGATATGACTGGAGGGGTCGTTGTTTCCAAGGTAACAGAGGGCAGTCCCGCAGAAAAAATTGGTCTGAAGATTCATGATGTCATTACTCAGGTAGGCAAATTAGAGAAACTAAATTTGATTTATTTGTGGTTTTGTTGCAGGATTGTTAAGCCAGTTAATCTATTGTAATTCTGACTCTATAGTAAAGATTTGCTTGAATGATTTGTCCAAGATTTCTAAATTTTTAAAGTCCATTGGAAATATATTTCTTCCTCAAAAGTGCTTGTGTGTGGAGTGCTGTACAGATTTTGCTTAAAACCATAGAAACTCTTGTTACAGCAATTTTAATTTCCTCTGTTCATATTGGGTTATAGTTCTTTTGCCTGCCTAAGCTGGTTTGGTATATGCTATAATTAAAAGCTTGCTGAACAGTAATGGAACTCTTGGTACCAAAAATAGCAGTTTTATGTAAACATTGCCTGGATTTCTGATTTGTAATTTGATACAAATTTATAAGTGGCAACTCCTTTCTGTAGTTGGAATTCAACAGAGTGAATGATGGAACATTTGAATCTTAAAGTAATGCCTTTTAAATGAAAGGAATTTATGATATTAATATATTATTATTTCATATAATGTAATGGGTATTATGTCTTTTTTCTTTAAATGGTTCACTGGGGACAGGCATTTCCTTACAATTTGTTGAACTTGAATAAGAATTCCATATTCCTTTCCCCTGAATCTGCAGGACAAAATGGACTATTGTGGAAAATAAGGGGTGTGGATATTTGCATTTCTAGATCGAAATAGTTAACTTTTTTTGCATGTTAATGAGAAATCTAGAAGCTGATGATAATTGAATTTTAAGAGTACAAGTTAAGACAGCTTGGGAGCAGGGCGAAAAAAGTATTTCTTTTCCTCCCATTGCATTTAAAATAACACATAATACAAAAACTGAACCCATGAAGTTTGATAGTCATGAAAAAGGAAATGATTAAGAATGACTTTGAGGATAGAGCTTCAAACGCACAGATGCAATTCTAACACTCTCTTATATATAGCTTAATATGTTTCATGACAATCGATCCTAATAAGTTTTAAGCTTTCTTTGATATTGGGACTAAATTTTTTGCTCAATCATTAAAAGGAACTATTTGACATACAGTTGTCAAGATTTAGAGAAAATTGTCAGGTGACGTTTTTATAAAGAACTGTCAAGGCTGGATAATATGCAACAGAAAAAAAAGTATTGCTCATTCATAACTCCAGTCATGGACCTAGATAATCTCTGTCAGTGAATGGAAATAAATTCCCAAACTCCATTCATGTAAAACATAAACATTCAGCTGATCTCGGCATTTTTTCATAGATCTTATTGATAAGATATTTTTCTAAAGCTGTCTGAATTTAATAAAATATGTGAGGGACATTTTTTGACATTTTTGACAGCGTATGTCTTTTAGAACAATTTTGTGTATGTAAAGTCTGTGGAGGTTTTAGTCTGAGGAAAGTGGAGGGTGAAATCGTCAGAATGGAATTGACGTTGGAAGACTTATGTGTGGAGGGTCTAAGGTCACTGACAGACATGTAGACCCCATGTGTATAATTGACCCAGGAGAAGAGAATCACAGATGTGTCATTATTCTGTCAACTCCACAATTTTTGTCTAGGGAAATGTAGAAAAATTAAGAGCCATTTGTACCCCCAAACTCCAAAAAGCTACCCACCCCCAAGAATAGAAGAGGCAGGATTTACACACCCCCCCCCCCCCCCCAAAAGAAAAAGGCAGGATTAAAAAATGTCCAGACTTTGTAGCAAATATTGACTGTTAATTAAATTCAAATAACCCCACTGCTGTAATTTCTGAACCTTTAAGATAACTTAAGGCTTGGAGGTATGATATATATATATTTTGTTGGAATTTGAAAGGACGGAGAAGGTGGCATATTTTCTTCCACTTAAATGTTATCTGTGAAGTAGATTATGTTAGTTTGATTATATCAGTGGCTTAGGGACAGTCTTATGCCTGTACACAGTCCTGGGGTCTTCGTGTGGCTCTTAAAGACTCCCCCATGTGTCAGAGGTGATAACAAAGGGGAGAGAAATCTGTCGCTTTGTCATTCCAAGAGAGTTTAAAAATTAATCTTAATGGAACTCAGATTTTTAATTGAAAAGCCTGATTGTTGATATGTTGAGTCCTTTCATCTTTATCTCAATGGTTTACAGTATTTACTACTTCTAGATATTTAAACTACAGGAGAGGGAGTTTATTTAACCATAATCAGATAAATTGTAAAAACATACGGATATATAATGATGGAAGTATTAAGCAGTTTGTATGGAGAGTTAGGGGAGATAATGATATATAATAAAAGGTCATCATTGTAAACTGAGAAATATTTTGGTATATAGAAATTTTTATTAATAGCAGATGGTCAGATGGTTGAGTGTAACAGTTCAGAATTATCACATATACAAACAGACCGACTTTTTCTCTTTGACTAGGAATTAAATCAGGAGCAATCACCATAACTGGAATCTAAAAAGGAATTCATCAGATAAGATTGAACTTAATTACAGATGAGGCAGATAACACCACTTCCTTATGCTCATTCATGTCTCGTTTTGTCTCCCAGGAGACAAAATTTACCCAACATGCACCTCTTCCCTGTTGTATGGTAATTGGTCATAAAAATTCATAGAAGAGTTCAATAATTGACAAGGATTAAACAGAATTATAGTATTTTCTCTCTCCATCTGTCCCCATCTTTCTCTCCAGGGTATGGAGCCATGGGGGTTATGCAAGGTCGTGACCTAAATCTAAGGTCAGTGCTCAGACTCAATACACAGGCCCTTGACCACATGACCAGTGAATGAATTATGGGTAAATCTCATTATGGGGATAGGGGTCTGGCAGATGTAAAGAAAATTATGGGGATAAAAGAAAACTGTAATGATATTAGAGTGTAGTGGATGTCGTGATGAATGGACTTTTAATTGCTCTGTCTCCTTAACTTTTATGTTCCCATGTTATTCAAGAGAACTTGATGAGATGGGGACACTTTATACATGGAATTTGATGAGAATTTGTGTTCCTTTTGATTTATGGGAAGTATATCAATACCATACCGTTATATAAAGGAGAACAGTTTTTCTTTGGGGAAAAAAAAAAACAACAAACTTCTTAATAAAGAGATTCAAATTCGTCTGTAATCAAAAAAAAAAAAAAAAAAAAAAAAATTTGGACACACTTTAAAAAGATACCATTTGGTAACTGTTGATTATATATGGGTTCTCATACCCACCCAACTTTGGAAGGTCATTTCTTATATACATGTATATGTGTGTGTGTGTGTAGAATATATAGATTAGGGTGATAAATGATCAGAATGAGTTTATTATTTGATCTTGTAAGGATAAATAAGACATTGATAAAGATCTTTGTTATCAGAGAGATCATCTCTGTCTTGCTTTTTGTTTGCGGAGATCATCTTTGACAAGTAATGATCTGTTCTCCCCCGCGCTGAATTCCTGCACCTTTGGGCTGGGGAATTGTTTTACGACAATCAATGACTTTTTAAGAGAGAGAGTATGTTTACCCAGCGGTATATAGCAAGTTGACATAATAATCCGGATATAAAGTCAAATCCCCCATTGTCTTATCACCCCTCGTTATTTGATGACGGAGCTCGGGGTGGTGGACCTCTGTATGTAAACCAGACAGGAGTTTATGGACACAGAGTACTTGGTGACTGTTGTGAAAAATCAATCTTCATTATGAGGTCTATGACTCCTTGTTCAGACACTCCAAAAAACGTAAAACATTTCTTCAAGAGGAGATTATGGTGTTTATATTGTCAGAAAAACCAACAATATCTAAGCATGGAGTGCTTTTATTTGGGTTAAACGGAGAATGCTGGGGGTACACAAACAGCAGTCTAGGGGGGGACTTGAGGTAATTAAGGATATATTTTGGACTCTCCTTAGTGTCATGAACGAGGCAGTGTTTTACATTTTTCTGAAAATTGGTAATTAAATAATTCATGTGTTTATAAGCTATCTTATATAATATTAAGCTATCTTATACAATATAGTAGCTATATATTGATAGAAATAACCTTATACAAGGTAACAATTGAAAGGTTTACTTTTCTCATCCTCGCAAGCCAGGGGTCCTGAGTCAACTCGTTGCCATTGGACAGTGTGTTGACTCAGGACCTCTGGCTTGCAAGGATGTACTTTTCTAAACTCGCACACTTTATCCTTACTTAATATTTACCCCCACCCTACCCCATATTTAAAATTTTACCCACTCTTATTATTTCAAGATGACCTAAAGTTTATGCTATGTTGACAGAAAATGTTTATTTTTTTTTTTACTCTCTGCAGATAACGATGAGAATTCAGATGTACACAAGTTCTATGTATTTTCACTTATGTAAAAATACTTCGCATTATGTATGTTTTTTAAATAATTTGTGTAAATTGCAGCTAATGCTCTATTGTACCTTTGAACCAGTTACTTTAACAATAGCACAATGATTAATGATCCTAAGTGAATTTGTTATAATTTCAAAAGATGTAAATTCATGGCTTCACACTTTTTTTGTATCATTGTGACATTAATGTTCATCTTTAAGGTCTTTGACGTCCCTGTACAGTGCATTTCCTGGAGTAGGTTTTATACATTAAATGACCTGCTCTTTAGTAAAGCTGTTTTAAATATCAAGTGAAGTATTTAAGAAAAATGAAGCAATAAAAATAAAAAACCTTGTCAATGATGCTCAAGATCAAAAGCTGAGAATGTTCACTTGTCTTGGTGGACGTCGGAGGAACTGCATGGCGACATGTTTACTGATGATATAAAGATTATAAAAGCATAATGGTTGATAAAGGGATATTAAAGTTTTAGAGTTGTGTGTAAAACATGCAATTGATTTTTGGTCTGTCAGTTTTCATTAAAAAGTACGTGAAAGCTATGAAAGTTTGAAAAAATATAATGTAGCTCAAGGAGGCTCATTACACCACTTTTTGATGACGTACTACACAGAAAAATAAACCTCCATTGTTTTGTCCATTTTCTCCTGGGGACAAATTGTACAGGTTCACTT